ACACACACACACACACACACACACACACACACACACACACACACACACACACACACACACCCTTGCAGATTGTAAAGCAGGGGCATAACAAAAGCGAGTCGCTACTTTCACTGAGCGCCATCCTTCTGGAAAAGAGAGCTGAACTCTTGGGGTCGACAGCGTCTTACTCTCCGCGGTTTCAGCTTTATAGCCGCGTGTGGGCTGCTCCAATCCGCCGTGTTTGTCAGGCGAAAGGCCGGTGCTGGCCGCGCCGCTCCTTCCTCTCACTCCACAGTGGAGGAATCAGAGCTCTCCGAACAGCAGCACAAAAAGATATCAGTTAATGAGGCCACTCCTCCACTGCTCCTCCAGACTAACGCAGAGGCACCGTTAAAGCACTGCCATAAGATATTAACGAGCCAGCCGATGGCGAAGAAGATGTACGGCAACAGAGTCTGTCTCACTCCACGTCCCTCGACTGCTGACTCATCAGACCATTACATTTATTTGCACACTCTTGAACGGCACTATTGCACTTTTTGAACATTTAACGACAACACATTATATATCAACCTGACTGCGTGTGACCTTGTCTTAACTGCAGGGGTGTATACAGGGGTGGGGCCACATGGGCACTGGCCCCATGTGATAGCTGATTGGTCCCCAGAGTGCCCCATTCCCTGTCATTCACGCAATCAAAACATATCATTGGCTAATCTTAAAGATGACCTGTCTGCATGAATTATGGCCCCCCTTATACCCCCAGCTTAAAAAAAAAAAAAATCCTAGAATCACTCCTGCTTAGCTCTGTATGTATGAGAGCCACTGACAGCTGGAGACAAATTCAGTGTGTAAGAACATACTTGGCCAATAAACCTGACTGATTCTTTAAAAAGAGGACAACTCTGCTTCAGGTGTCGAGGCTGAATCTACACTCCCATCCTTCAAACTTATACCTTCAAATGAGGAAAACACAAGCACCAATATGATCCTCACAGTTCACAGTCAGCTGCCAAGGTAACACTTTTAAATCCCAATTTTCCTCCAAAAAAAGAAGATGGGAACAGCCGAAAGCCGCCCCCCCAAATGATAGCAGTGGCCAGAGGGCCCCCCCCCCGTCTCCCACAGCCTCGCTTCCAGCTAGCCAAGTCAAGCAGATGGATTCTTGTCAGAGAACTGTTTACCTGGCAAAGATGCACAACATGAAATCATCACCGGATTCATTCACCTGCTCCCTCTGGGTGACAAACACAGCAGGACACAATGATGAGCCAATATGAGATCTCCACCCAAATCAGCTGGACTGGACATGCCAGTCCGGAAAAAATCTAATTATCTTGTTGCAGTTGATTAAAATCAACTGGCCCTCATGGGTCGGGTAGGTTAATCAAATGTGAAATAGATCACCCATAACAAAAGACCCCTGGAAGGCAGTGAAGACACAAAGACGAGATCCACCAGCTTCCTCGCACCCGTGTCTAGACTGTCCCCCCCTCCCCTCCGCACACCCACCACCGCCAAGTCACAACTGCTATACTCAGAGACAAACCCCTGCTCACATCAACACTAAGAAACATTCAAAAACACGTGGCTTTGAAATACTCCTTAATTCCCATCGTCCTTCATAAAGGAAGCACACCTGCATGCCAAGCGGCGGAGCGCGGTCTCCGCCGTAAATTCACGGTGCCGATAAGCAGCACATCGGACGCCGCGCGTGCCAGTAGCTGAGGCCAGGTGCTTGTGTGTGCCCACGTGCATGAACGGCAGGCTGACAAAACGGCTGAAAGCTAAATGTAATCACATGAATGTCGTGGCTGGACTATTATCTGTTTGTATGAAAACCTCAGGCTTTTTTTAGTCCTTTTAAATCCTTGGCTATTCTTCAGTCTTTCTAGAACCTTCCAGCCCCCTGCCACACAGATCATTGGCCTTCTGTCTGGCCAGTTCTACCCTATCCGCTTGATCATGGTCTCGGAACAATGTCTGGCAGACATAGCTCTCTTCCCTGTAGGTAGGGGGCGCTGTTTGGCTGCCAAATTGCCTTTGGTCCTCAGTACTGATGTGGGATTACACTGAGACTGTCACCATACTCCTCAGACACGTCTCACTAGACACTGCTGTCAATTTCACACTGGAGGCCAGGTTTCTATCGAGGGCCGATGGCACAGTTAATCCGACAGACGGTGGGGACTGCCAAGCTCTGGACACCAGCCTGCCTGTTAATGTCGACACCGAACCCGTAAAGTCACTCACAGCTACCCGGCCTTACAACCAGTGGCCTTCAAAAGGCAGCATGTCCCCAAAGTCCAACCTGCAAGTGTCCCTGGAGTTCCCATGGCAATGGAGCTCAGAGAACAGGTAAACGGATGTCCTCGCGTCACCTCACGCCTATCGCAGCCATTTCTGCTGCCTTCTTTTGAGGCCCCATCCCTGAGTGTCCTGATTGGATGATGCTGACCAATGGAAACCGCCGTGGCTGAGCGGCACTGCAGGGCACGGAACAGGTGTAAGAATCAGCAAAACAAAATGTGCTTCTGGGAATGTTTTTGCTTCTTCCTTTTTTTTTTATCCGAAGGCATGTCCATCTGTGAAGACAAGAATGTGATATGGGTCTACCCTTCAAACACTGGCATTCAGCTTCAAACTGGAAAACCATTAGACGAATTACACACACGAATCTAGTCAGAATTTGAATGACTCTCTACTTTACACAATATGGGTGCTTCAGTGAGAAGCATGCTCTGCTTCAGCTACCTACTCAGTCATGTAATCCTAAGAGTCATATTTAGACAACTATAAAAACGTTTGCCTGCATCTGTAGTAATAGGACACGTAAATGTGATTCTGAGACCTTGAGCAACACTTCAGCTTAAGGACGGGGGAAAAAAAACACAAATAAATAACTTTGATAAAAATGCT